TGCTGCCATCAGCTCCACCACCTCCCCCAATGCCGCCAATGGCGTGGCACCGCCCCACTTCTCCCCGTGCCGCCATTGCTGCCACCACGTGCTCCCATGCCGCCATCAGCTCCACCACCTCCCCGAATGCCGCCACTGGTGCCCCCCCTTCTCCCCGTGCCGCCATTGCTGCCACCAGGTGCTCACATGCCACCATCAGTGCCTCCACCTCCAATGCCGCCACTGGCAACCCCATTTCTCATGCCATTACTGCCACCACGTGCTCCTACACCACCACCAGCACCCCCACTTCCCCCAACACTGATACCTGTGCCCCCACTTCTCCCCGTGCCGCCATTGATGCCCCCACTTCTCCCCATCCACCACCGGCACCCCCACTTCTCCCAACACTGCCACTGGCGTCACCATGTGCTCCTACACCACCAATGGCATCCCCACCTCCCCCAGTGCTGCCACTAGCACTCCCACTTCTCCCAATGCCGCCACTGGCGCCTCCACTTCTCCACGCTGCCGCTTCCCCTACTCCCACCTCATTCCACCGGATCTTTCACTGCTCAGTCCTACACTCTCCACACCTACTCCCACCGGAAGTTCCCAGTGATTCTTCCACCCACCGCTAGGGCCTAGACTATCCCCTCAACCTCAGCTCCCCCGCGTCACCTCCACTCGCACACCAAGATAGCCTCACCAAGGTCTCTGCCTCCGCCATTCCCCATTGTCTCCAAAACAGTATAAGGCACTATAAATTTAACAGAAATAAATACAAACAATAAATTTCTTCCAAAGGCCTTTGTATATGGAAACAGGCACATTTCTTTTGGTCCACAGGCTAAATACCAAGGTCCATGGACAATCACAGTCCAAGGAATACAGTGGTCCTGTGGTCCTAATTTTAATTAAGTTGCTCAATTAGGACTAGCTTCTGGACCACTTCAGCACCCATCTCAGTCTGACCAGTCGGTCACCTACCAGCTGTTGCAGCCTGTGGCGTGGCCGGCACAGCTCACCTCCAGCTGTCCATGGAGTGCGTGCAGAAATCCCAAGCAACTGCGACGAATGCGAGGCGCAGGCCCTTTTATAATGCCCAGACCTAGGGGGCGGTAAGAACTGACGTGTACCCGCCCGCGCTCCCCCGTACCCACCTATCACAGTGTGGTCACGAGGCAAATTTGAACTTTGCAACTTGGCGCCTAGCCGTAACGCTTCCAGAATCAGGTCTATCACTTCCCCCTCTCACGGACGTTGCTTATTTGTCCCGAAGCGCCATTTTGATACAGAGTGTGGGCACCCGAGGCCAATTCTGTGAGTAAAAGTCCCTAATAACTTTCCGAGTGATGAGGAGAAACCATGTCAAATCCTTCCTAACCAAGTTTCATCCTGCGAGAACTTGAATAAGCAAGGCTTGTCCCCTGCTTGAATTATCCAGACCTCTAAGTCCGTTATTCCAAGCACAGTGTGGGGCGTGGAGGAGGGGGAGCGGGGTGCGGACGGGAAGGGCGAAGCGCGCAAGAGCTAGGGCGGGCGTTGCGGGGAAGGCCTAGACCCCTAGATAAGACCAAGGCAGCAACTCAACAGCTCCTGGCAACGGTGAACTGTTTACTTCCAGAACCCTCTGAACCCTGGAGATAGAAAAGGGTTGGTTACTTGAGACTTTTTGGCACTCCATACACACCGAGAAAAACAAATGGGGGAAGCAGCGCTTTCTAGATTATACCAGTTTCTCCAGCGAACATCCATACATTTCATAAGGTAACCCTTTGGCTAACAGAATACAAAGAAAATGTCCCTGCATTTGATATTATTTTGTGCTAGGTGTTGTTCCAAGTGTTTTATTATTTAATTCTTACATTTTAAAAAGTAGGCAATTGTTAGTGCTCTCATTTCACTGAGATCACACAGCTAGAAAGTGGCAGAGGTGGCAGGGCACGGTGGCTCACGCCTGTAATCCCAGCGCTTTGGGAGGTCAAGGTGGGCGGATCACGAGGTCAGGAGTTAAAGACCATCCTGGCCAACATGGTGAAACTCCGTCTCTACTAAACATACAAAACATTAGCCAGGCGTGGTGGTGCGCACCTGTAATCTCAGCTACTCAAGAGGCTGAGGGAGGAGAATAGCTTGAACCCAGGAGGCGAAGGTTGCAGTGAGCCGAGATCGCGCCATTGCACTCCAGCGTGGGCGACACGGCGAAACTGTCTCAAAAAAAAAAGAAAGAAAAAAGTGGCAGAGCTGAGATTCAGACTCCAACTCTAGTTCCAAAGCTTGCTCTTAAGCACTGGATTGCCTACATAATTTACAGTCACTTTCTCAGTTGATAGGGGATTGGATAAAGAGGGCTTATTACTCTCTTTACAATAGTTGCAAATTAACCTCTAACAAGCCTCTTTATAAAAATGACGATTACGTAACTGTGCCTCAGAGGTTTGGCAAAGAACCAAAATGTTAGCTATGATTGAGAGGCATATTCGTCAAGTAAAAGAGTTAGGATTAGAATCAAATCTTAAAACGGGCAGTTCAGAAATTACACACATTTACTCCAGGTGTGCAAGCAACAACTCCTTTAGACTGAAGTCAGGAGGAGCTAAAGTAGACTGGAAGTAATGCAGATTCTTCAACAGAAGCGGATAGGAGTAAAAACTTTTGAGTAGGCTACTGAACACCTTTCTTCCCATAATAATCTTTTAGGAAACAAACACCAATCCACATTAGGGCTTTAACGGTACAACCAACAGAAGTTGGGAATTATGCAAAATGCTACCGAAAAACATCTTCCCTCTCACTTATATCTCTGAGAAAACTGGCAAACAGTGTGTTCTGACCCCTCATGCACTGACATCTTCCTCCTTCACGCTCATGGCAGAGTTTGAGCACTATACACAGCAAGAAGGAAAATAATTTTGCCCCCAAAGAGCCAAGAAAAGAATGGTCCACATGAAGACTGAAACAAGTGTAAATAAAAGCAGAGAGAT